GAGGAACGAAGAGAACCCAAACGGTGGAGAGAGATGGATGCTTCAATGGTGGAGAGAGATGGAAGCTTCAATGGTGGAGAGAGAGTTGAGAAAACCAAACTGCAAGTGAATCTGAAAAAATAAACTGCCATCTGAAAAAATAAACTGCCAAAAGGAGTTTCTATCCAAATTCATTCCAAAATTGCCCTTCTGAACAAATTCCACCTTTTTAAAAAAGCCTTTTAAAACCAACCAATGAAACAACGCCACGTGACGTTGCCAAAAAGTTGGCACAATATAGTTGTTAAAGAAACGTTTTCCTATATTTTTAGTGATGGATAATTCGAGGAGCGCCACTTTTATGGGAGCTGTAGGAAAAAAAAGGGAGGTGAAGCACCCCACACTCCTTCCTATAAAAGTAATCCTAACAGTGTTAAACTTTCCTCCTTTGCGTAAGAATAAACCATGATATTCCACCAAACCTCGTTTCTCTCATTCATCTTATGAATCATTTTCCCTCTATGTCTGAGCAAACATATGTCGCACAAAAATGAATCAAACTACTACAAATGTGTGTACCTAATTCAAACAAATCTTTCAAACCGTGGGCATGCACCTCTTTTCACACTAAGAAAACGTGTAAGTGCATGCCTTATCAGAACTGCAGTTTTGTATTCCAAGATTATATAGATCTTCAAATAAATAATATTGTACCGTACGGTACCCTCCTTCCTAACACCGAACGATTCTTCTTAGGCCAACTATCCCGGCCGACCAGGTCGACCACCCATACTAACCGACCATCCCGATCGAACAGACCGCATGATTAGATTACAAACGATAATAGCTCATTAAAGCCCTTAATGGAGATTAAGACGTGATTGAGCCGCCATTAGGCCAACAAAAGGTAAAAGCCCATTACAACCAGTATAAATAAGAGTCTCGGGTATGATTTCTGCACAGGTTGCATAGGATGCGCTATATACATGAATTACTTACCGCTCGATTACATTACTAACTTGAGCGTCGAAGTGCCTTTGACAAATACCCGCCTGGCTCGGAGGAGGAGGGAGAGCGAACAACTTGGAACATGAGGAAGATCGAGGTGGCTGTCCGGCCTTCAATGGATCTGTCTACCCCTCAACGTGTCCGTCCAGTCATCAGGAACCGTCTAGCCTCGAAACCATCTCGGAATGTTTTAAGGGGTCTTCAACGTTCGCCCAGCTCCCAATGGTAGTTCGCTTGGAGCAAAGCCCACCCGGTCTTCATCCTGCAGCACGTTGAACAGAATTCGTCCGTCCGATCTCTAGCATCCACCCAGTCTTCAATACAATTAGGAGTGTTTTAGTAGGGTCACACCAAACCCGACCGGAACAAATATTATAAAGCTTGAATAGAATACCCCATTTTTTAACTTCCACAATACACAATTCAAAAAAAAATTTGACCACTCAATCCAAAATCTTTCCAATAAACCAAAAATAAGAATATTATTGATATCTCTCAATGTATAAGCAGGTGCAAGAAGAAAGCAAGGTGCAGAAAGAAAAAATCTATCATTTATTTATTGTCTTTACACTGGCTTCCAAATTAGTCCTTATACGAAAAAGCATTTCCTAAGCTTTGGTCTCTAGGAAATTGACATCTACATTATAATGGCCTTAAGCAAATCTTACATTTTAGTTTTGTATAAAACTAATACTATGCTATGGCTCCTATATAAAATTATTACATTTTATACTATACGAGACATTTTAGTCATTGCATAAGAATTGATTTATTTGCTTAATTGTTTACGAGATTTCCTTTACTAAGGTGTCATCGCTGACGGAAGGCCTAAGCTAGCTAAAATTCTTTAATTTCTTCATTTGGTTATTATCTATTCATGAGGGTACCATTCTCGCTCTCAATGCAAAATGATAAAACTCCACACATTTTACAACTCCAATTCATTAACCATCCGTTTTGTAAGAATTGAATAACACAAAGTTATTAAATAAAAAAAAGTACAACGTACACAAATTTGTTGACTTAATTAAGAATAACTATTTTAATTGACCAATATGAATAATTTTTTTATTGAATTTAAGCTTTACATCGTTCCTCCTCATTGATTATCCTTCAAACTGTTCGCGTAAGAGAACTACTACCAAGTCTTTTCATCTAAGCCAGCTAATTTCTAACATAGGATTGAAATATACTGATATCAGATACAGACTAAAAATTTTAAAAAATACTAACTGATTATTAAAAGGTAATGTTTTGTTCAAAGAAAAAAAAAGGGAATAACCAAAGTACTTATGTGGTGTTGCATCTATAGTGAGACAGTTGTTTAGGCGGGAAAAAACACGATAACCACTGACTATTAGCATTTTGACACTTAATGTTTTGGTGTACGTAGAGGACTCGACCCTCATCTAAAAGGGAGCATAGTAGAAATAAAAGCTGAACCATATCAAGCTATTCCACAACTTAGAGACCTCTAGATCCAATTTCATGTATTGTTATGATGAATCAAGATGACCTAATACAAAGATCTACATTTATTTTTCTTCGTAATTGAATTCATGATTTTGGATCTCACCAGAGCTGATAAGTGAGTCGATGCCGTTGCCTTCTATAGCATCTTCGGAATTGGATCCATTAGAGAACTCTGAAGAATTTGGTGCTGACTGATCATCCTGAATTGCTTCCTTTTGGACGACTGATTTTGGGCGCCTGATTGCTTCGGCAGCCTCCCGCATTGCTATAGGGGGTGGTTGAGGAGGAACCCACAATCGTTGGACTGGCTGCTGACTGGATGCAGCAGATGCTACATTATATTCAACTTCGTTATCAATCTCTTTGATTCTGATGTCCTTCGCTTGCCACCAGGGTACTGAGTTGTCACCACCACTATCTTGGACCTTGCCATTTGCTTGATACTGGACGACTTGGGATGAGGTGTTTTGCACCTGACTAACCTCCCAAGGCTAGAAGCCATTGGAAGCAAATAATAGAAAATAATAATAATTGTTAAATTGCCATATAAATCAGTTACCTGATTCTGCAATTCTGCATGCTTATGATATTTGCAAAACAACTACGAATAAAATTTATGCCTACATCAACTATCTTTTCCTTGATGGTCCAATGAGTCATTGGTGTTATCACATAAATGGTCAGTAATCAGAATCGACAATCTAGAATTAATAATTTTGCAATTGAATTAATGCATAGAAACACTTGAAATGTGAACAAAAATTAATTTATAAATTACAGACTAGCGAAACTAGTCTTAATTTAAAATAAAAACTGTTAGGAAATGTAATGAAAGATCTAGAAATATAAATATACCTTCGCTTTAGGGGCTAAGCGAGGGTTTGATGGTTGCTGATAAGGGTTGGGGGCTGAATCATCAATTTCCTGCATTAAATCACCGTGTCATAGAAGTAACAATGGGGCCACGCAAAATTCGAAAACCAAATGAATAAGAGTAAATTTATTTGCGTGTTACAATCTTTTACTTCATGGTAGTAGCACCACCTTCCTTGTCTCACATTTTACTATCAAATTTTATTTCCATCAATATTTTATTAGTTTATATCAATATAACACAAATGAGATGCGTAGTACTCTAAAAGCTACTGTTTGAATACACAAAGGATACTAGTTGATATAGGCTTGAATACATGAATACCATAATCCGAGGATTTTTTTTTCCCTTCAAATCATATATATTACTGGCCTATAAATGCAAAATATTTCATTCTAATTTGGTGAAAATATTAGTCAATAAAGCTAGTCGTGATATCCTATGCTTAATAAAATGACATCTACCTCAATGTGTTATGTCCTCTCATGACAAACTACTAAATTAGATGCAATATGCAAAGCACTTGATTATTGCAAATCAACATCATATGCATCGACTCTTCAAAGTGGATCTCTCTAAGGAGTTGCTTTAGCAAGATAAGTTCACAGTTGCTAAAGCAGGGCGCATTATTCTGCTTCAATGAGGTAATTTAGTTTTTCAATTGACCTTCTATATCTTCTTGAATCTGACAAGGGATTCACCTAATTGGATAGCAGTTTCCCATTGCCCTCCATAAGAGTATCCACAGGTTTGGCATTCAATAGGACAATTTCTTCAAAATATTGAGTGTATATTTCATCTGAGATCCTTGGATTGAGCTACCATGATAACTAAAGCTTACCAAGATCGTATGTCTAGATTGACGTGAGGAATTATTTTCGATGGAGAGTGCCATCTTGACATTGAGGTAGATGCTTCCTTGAGGTGATTAATGATAGAGGACAGCATAGTCAACTTTACTATGAATCATACCAAAATCTATCACAATATTGTGATATTTGTGAAACTAGACTCGGGAAGATTGTTTAAGTATATACAAGGACATATGAAGGTGGCCCACCACGGTAGAGGAATCCCGCTGAACAACAAATCCATGTATTTGTTCCATGAAAACATCTTTCTCGAGATTGCCATGCAAGAAATCATTTCAATTATCAAATTGAAATACAGGTTAGTGGCAAAATGGTATTCAGAGAGACTGTAGCAAGGCGTGCTATGTTGGGACAAAAACATAAGACCATCTCCTGTAAGGATGCTGCAGGAAATAGAAAAGGGTGATGGCAGAGGAAAGAGAATATTCAGAGATGAAGAGAGAAAATTTCAGAGGGAATTTTTCTGTTATATCGTCCTCCCCTCTCTATTACAATATTGTATTATATATGCGCTTGGCTCTGCCTTGCAGTACTGATCATGTGCATATAACAAATAAAGGAAAAATTACAAAATAATTCCAATCATTTCTTGCTAACAGAATTCCCCTTCTTACTGGTTGCTGGACACGTGACCACATAATCCTTTAGGTAACGTGGCTGTTTTGTGGTTCTTTTGGCTCTCTCCTCTAACGGTTTCTCAATAGCTGGAGCTGGAGTAACAGCTGTGTTTGGGCTTCTGGAAGGAGTGAGGGGAATGGGCCCTTCAGCCCTTACATCTCCCATACTAGGTTCTTAAACTATTCTTAAATGTAAGAAAACGTTGTTATGATATGGTTGTGTTTTGAGAATTCTTATATGTTAAAGAACCTTTCAAAATAACTTGTTCTTAACATAAATAATACTTTTATTGGATAAAAAATGAGCAAAAATAGCAAACAAAAAAAATCTCTGTTATGAATTTAAGATCAAGAAAAGGGAAGACACAATCTCAACCCAAACAAATTAAAATCCTACATCTGAGAATAATGTTGAGAAGAACATGGCCTGCATGTCACGAGCGCAGATGGGGATTTGGATCTTAGAATTAGTTGTTAGTTGTAGATGTTTGGCATGATGAAGAGGTTAATATCGACAAGGGATTTGGAGTGGCGTGATGATGTTTTGTGGCCCGCTTAATGCAGCAATAGGAGAGAAGGAAGAAAGAAAAGAGAAAGGTAAGAGTGGATTTTGATCACAAAAGATGAAGAGAAAAGGGAAAGGGGAAACATGGCGGGACTGATAACATTAATTTAAGAACTTGAAAATTGGTTCTACCGTTGGAGGAAAATATCCACAAATTCTTAAACCCATATGGTGCGAAAGGGTGCACTCAAATAGGCACTCACATCCGATGCCAATCATTTGTTCCAAACATTGCTCTTACGAGGTAACAATGTATTTAGAAAAAGTAATTAAAAAATCATGAGATTGGGTGAGACAATGGACAAAAAGGAGATGAAAAGGACAATCAAGTACATAGAGAACAAAATCACGAGGAAGGGGACAAGTAGTGCCAATCCTTTGAGACTGACTTTGGGAACCATTGATAGATGTAATACGAGGTAAATAACTAAATGTAAAAAAGAGAAAAAAGTTATTTACTAAAAATGTGGGCCAAGCACACTAGAATCAAGAACCTAGAGACCAAAGGAAGGAGCAGTGTCATTGATATCAGATAATGGAAAATATTGGGAACGCATAAATCCTTTATGAAACTATAGCAGTAACCATTACGAGTTATTGCAGATGCATTGCGGTAAAAAGAAATACAACATATGCAGAAAAGATGAATGGCAATGTTAGTGGCGAGTCAATGCAAGTGGCAATGGGACTGAAAAAGAAGGAGAGCCGTGGGTAGGGTATTAGGGTGTTAGGTTAAAATATAACAACTTTATTGAGCAGGTTATGGCCCTATTTTTAACAAAGTTATCATTTGGGTGTTTTACCCAACAGAAGACAAGGAAAAGAGAGAACAAATTTCTCATGTCCTACAACTAGGATTTCTTCCCTGCGTCTCTGCTCCTACTCACTAGGGTTTTCTTCACTTGCACCACTGCCTCTGCAAACAAGGGTTTTCCTCTCCACCTTTTCCACCATCTCTTTTCTGCACTGACTAACCGTGATGCAAAAAATGGCTCCCACGAGAAACCTGCATCGCCACCACCATGTTGTGAAGGCAAGCAGCAAAGCCCCAGTGATTTCCACCATGGTGGCCCACAACCAATTTTTGATGATGCAAGCAAATGAATTACCAATTTGTTCAACCAACAAGTAGATCCAAGGTTTTAGCAATTCCCATATCATGGGAGAAAGTTATACTTGAGAATGGCAAATAAGAAAAAATGTCTAGGAGAGTTGAGTGACTCTTATTTGATCCATTCATTTACATAGATTCTTACATTAGTAGANTCTTCCCTGCGTCTCTGCTCCTACTCACTAGGGTTTTCTTCACTTGCACCACTGCCTCTGCAAACAAGGGTTTTCCTCTCCACCTTTTCCACCATCTCTTTTCTGCACTGACTAACCGTGATGCAAAAAATGGCTCCCACGAGAAACCTGCATCGCCACCACCATGTTGTGAAGGCAAGCAGCAAAGCCCCAGTGATTTCCACCATGGTGGCCCACAACCAATTTTTGATGATGCAAGCAAATGAATTACCAATTTGTTCAACCAACAAGTAGATCCAAGGTTTTAGCAATTCCCATATCATGGGAGAAAGTTATACTTGAGAATGGCAAATAAGAAAAAATGTCTAGGAGAGTTGAGTGACTCTTATTTGATCCATTCATTTACATAGATTCTTACATTAGTAGTAAAAAAAAATATGATCTACACATAGGTGTCAGATAGGTAATAGAAAAGATGAGTTAACCTATTCTAGTTCCACCAAGGACCAAATAACTCAAGCATGGACTAGATATTTGTGAGTAGTTTAGGAGAGGGTGACATGAAAGTCCAACAAACTTTGCTAGCACAGACTTTGATACCGTCTTAAAAAGTGGATTTAAATCTAACTCAATCATACAAAATCTGTTATCTAACATGGTATGAAAGCATTATCATTCCCTGTGTCCTCTTTTGTCACTTAGTCCTTTCAACATAAATCAAGTTCCATGGTGTCTTCAAACACAGATTTAGCCAACCATGTCACATAATTGGAGGATATTTTGTTTAGTCTAAATTAGATTTTTCTCACCTAAAGCCACACTATACAGTAAATGCAGAATATTTCATTATGATTTCAACAAGATATATGATTTTAGGCATGTATCTACAATTAACAATTGAAAGGAATAAATATTTACTCTAATATTAGAAGGCTTCTCTCCTCTTTGGATCATGGCCATTATCTGCAGAAAAATAATGGAAGGAAATAATCCGCGCAAAGAATCATATGACCTCAATTAAAATAAACAAAATAGAGGATCTAATATTGAGTCTTTTCTAAAACATTGGTTAATCAACATGTAAAGTGGATGAAGTAAATTAAATGTTATCAGTACCAACAAAGTGTTGTAAATAGAGATATGGATAAAAATACCTTCAAAATCTTATTATTAGGACAAAATATCTTCAGAATCTTCTTATATTATCTTTAGAATCATCTTATTTATTCATACATATTTTACTTCCTTATTTTAGAAAGATTTATTGTTACAAAATAGAAGAGCTAAGAATGTAATTGATATGATTTGTTATTTGTTGTTTCCCTGCATTGTTCAAGTCAAAGGAACAACAAAATAAGCTAAAGTTGCAATTTAATATTTTTAGTTAAATCCCAATCATCTATTTGCTGGTGTTGATTTGGGAAGTTTTAGAAGCAAAAACCAAGGAAAAATTTCCATAATTAAAAAATATATTTACCCATAAGAAGAGGAATTATAATCCACAGCTAGACTCCAAAGTACATAATGGCCAACAAGTGTCATCTTTTGATTAGTAGAACAATGATCTTTATTGATTGATTAGCAAAGACTCAAATATCACCTTGTGACTGTAGAAAGTGTGCATATAGGGGTAAATGGGGGAGAAAACATAAATAAGACAGAAATTTACCTCCAAATATGATTTTGGATGCGGAGCAGTAGATGGTTGAAGAGATTTAGGAGAGGATGAAGATCTCACTACATATAACACTCTAACCATAGGTAATAATTCAAAAAAAAAATTAATGTATTTGATAGGAATTAAATTAATTTATAACAACCTGATTGGGACTCGTAGTCTGACTTCCCATAAAGGACAGACTGCTGTATCTATTTCAAAAAATTTCAGTTGTCAAATGTCAACATTTTGAACAACTCATATGGGGATCAGAGCTGTGTCAAAATTTCATTAAAGGCAAAATATTCCGTAATAATCTGACCTTTGAACTTGTTTGAGTGACTTGGCGATCTTCTTGCTTGGAGACAGAGAGTCCACCAGAAGCTGTTTAAATCCATAATTTGGAGCCAATGATATTTAGTAAGAATGTAAAAAATGAGAACCTTGAAATATCTTAAGGCTAAATATGATAGAATTTCTGACATGCAAAGTCACTAAGCTTTCAGGAAGCCTATCAAGATTTTAAGAAAGTAAAATGAGGTGTAAGAGAGAGCTTGCTGGCACAGTCAGGAAGAAATTCAGTCATAAAAGTCAAAATGCATATGAGTTATCAGAGCTCTTGTTCACCATGATACATCATTATCTCTGTTTCATTCTAGAGGGGGCTATAAATGCAGAGGTTATAAATAACAATCAAGAGCATTCTTAATAAACATAAAAGTGCCACTGCAAGATGATAAAACAAACAATCAAGAGCCTTCTGAACAAATATACAATTGCCCTTGTCATATCCTAAACAAAACCCTTTAGCAAATATTCAGAGCAGTGGAATACCTTCCAATCTTTTTACTGCATTGATCATCAACTTCATTTCCTCCACTTGCCTATCCAAAAGGCTCACAACTTGTATAAAATATCTTTTCTCTGCAAAATGTAAAACCATATGCAGCAACAAATAACAAAAGATGTCAACAAAAATTAGTAGTATTAAAACATTTATAGATATTTTACAAGTATTAAATTGAAGTTTTATTCATCCACCTTCAATTATAGAAGTCAATAATTCTTGGCTAGATTTTGCCATATCAGCGGCTGCAACTGCAGCTGCTTTTGCCGCCTGTGCAGCTTCTTCTGCCAAAGTTGGTTTTGAGCCTGTTCTCTTTAATTGGTTATTTTCCCCTTCTAGCACAACATTGCGCAACCAGGATTTTAACCAAGGAAGAACAGAATTCTAAAACAAGTAACATGCTACCAAAGTTCAGTGAGTCTCAAACCAAATCGCAGAGTGATAAAGCTTATGGATAGGGCAAGAAAATAAGTTAAGTACAAGAAAAGATAAATATATCAAACCGAGCCCACTAAGATACCAACTAAGATAGAATCATCCAGAAAAATTAGTTGCAAATACCTTAATTAGTATAACTGTACCAGCACCAGAAGTAGCTAGTAATCCAACGGCAATAAGGGCATGAGACCAGTGAAAATGGCGGCGTGACAAAGTTCCCAGTGAAGTAATAACACCAGTAGAAGCTGGTATAGTCGTCTGCAAAGCCTGTGGTTGGCTTTGCTGATGAATGTTTGAAGATGGTTTTAATTGTTCATCTGTGAGTATTACAGTGAGCCACAAGTTGATATACAGAGAGGAAATGCAGTATTTGAACAGAATAACTAAATGGCAGCTTAAACTAAGTCCAAAAAACACAAAAGAACAATTCGGCAACTTCAACATCAGACATTGCACCTTGAATTACACCAGCTGTCTGCACACTGGGAGCTGAATCCTGAGATTAAAATTGAAGATAAGAATTTTAACAGAAGAAAATACGGTAAAGTGACAATCAATTAGCTGGTTGTATTCATGCAAATACAATAGAAAATTGAGCAACAAATCAAACAAGATGCATACAGGCACACGCCTAAAGGCTTCATCAATCTCCTCCTTCGTAAGGCCCTTCTTCTCCAGAAATGACCGCCTATGGATGACAGGAGAACCTCTAACTTTCGGGTGCGACAGAAATTTCACAGCATTCTGAATTTGTTCTTCGCGCATTGGTTCTGAGTTAACAAACACAGATGTGTCTGAACTTTGTTTACCAAGCTCCTCTACACTATTCTGCCGATCAACATTTTCCGGTTGTGCAATTTCACCACCTACACCATGAAAAAGAGATTCAACGAATCAATTTAATCAAAAGATTCGATAAACAAATTATATAACCATCGAGCACAGAAATATCCAATAGCGACACAGCAAACTATATAAACACGATGATAAATACAGTATTATCCACACAGTAATCACACCTCTCGAAGAACGAACCAGAGCTCAGGTTAACTGCGTAGGTTAATCATTTCACACAAAGCTATAATGCTTAATACTTTAATCTAAAACGACAAATAAAACACAACGAAATCACCGTATTTTTATTTGTTCTAGATTAATTGAATTCATCGACCAATGATTATCCAAATGCGAAGTACAAAGTAGAGAGCGTGTTCGTGAGCTTCAAATAATTGTTCGCAGATCATGCATAATATTATCGAGTTGCACGCGAAAAAAAGAAACAAAAAGTATAGAGTGAAACCAGCGGTTTGAACTGTGGAAATGGGAAGAGACGAGGATTGAGAAGCCATAGCCCCTGGTCGCACTATCTCCGAACTCCCAATCGAGGTGTGTTTTTGCTCATCGCATTCGCAGTGTTGATTATTGCTACAGTGATAGACAAAAAGCCAAAATCAAAAGTATTTTATGTGCCCTCGCCTTTTTCAGCCGCTATGTATATCCGTCCTTTAAATTCTTTTTTTAAAATTATTTTAAAATAAAAAATAAAAAAACTATATCTTTTAAAGCTTAAATAACTTTTTTATTCTTATAAATTTGTAGATTTTACACATGGCCTCGAAGAAAATTCAGATTTTTATTTTCGATAAAAATTGTATTTCTACTTTAATCCTAATATTTTCAAGCATCTATTACATAATGATTAGTTTGTGAAATACTCGGTCAGAAATTAAACATATTAACACGTGTATTTTTTCTAAACTCATGTTAGATTATATATTTTAATTTTAGTATCTCAACTAACATTCAAAATACAATAATTATATGTTATTACATAAAAAAAAATTTATATTTTAGTATCTCACTAAACAGACACTCAAAATACAATAATTATATCTCTACATGAATTTTAATTTCCGTTTAGGTTCTAACAAATTTATATAAGTTTTAATCTTTAACAAGGTTTTTCTCATTTTACTCCTTGTAATTATGTTATCATTGATATTCATTAAGTGATGAGTTGTTTATGTTTGATATGGGTATTGTTTATTTTATCTTTTAATGTTTGTAGTAAAATAGGAAATAATGAAGGAAAAAAGATTAATCTTTCTCAGATAGGAAATGACACTATTTATTTTGTATCATATGACTTTTTTTTTGTTTCGCATAAAATAATTTTAAAAGTACTCGTGCTATTCTATTGGGTAGATAGTCTCATTACTTGTCACTTAAAGATGTCAATAAAAGATATTGATCCAAGCAGAAATAAAAGTTCAGTCAGATGAGAAAGAAAAAAGTTTATATTGAGAAGAAAATATCAACTGTAAAAATTTATCAAAAACCAGTATAATATTTGTATCATATGATAAAATATATTGATTATTATGATAAAAACAAGTTAGTAACTAAACAAAAATTTTAAATATTTTAGAAATCCCTTGAAACAAGTAAACACAATTGTAGGAATGAAATATAAATAAATATTATTTTCAATAATTAAATACAAAATCTAAATATTTTAAGGACTAAAAGTCTAAGGTGTAAATATTTTAAGGACTAAAAGTCAAACGAAAAGAATTATAGACCAAATGAAAAATTCTTAAATTTTATGAACTTTTATATTTCATTAATAACTCAAATTTTATTTATGAACCAAATATTAGCATAATGACAGAAAAACTAATGCCAGTTTTATAAAAATAATAATATTAATTTTATTCCACTTTTAATATAAAATGCTAAACTAAGTGACATTTAATGAAGAGAAATTTATAATTTTCCAAAAATACTAAGAAAAAAAGCTTTCCGTATTTACCTTTTAAAACAGATACATTAAAAGAAAAGGTGTAAGAGAAAAAAAAAGGAATTAAAAACTATTTAAAACTTTTTTGGTAAAGAAATTAAAGTTATCATATGTAGTCTCACTATGATAAAATGAAATAATTTGTCTCAACTTATGTCCACGTTTTGTTTTAACTAGTTTCAATAATAGTTAAAAGACAAGCATTTTTCATGATTACTTGTCCCTTACAACATTTTTTTTGTATGTCGCGAGTGAAATATAAGTTGATAGAATTCATTTGAATGTACAAGCATTTGTAAATATAACATATTACAAAATTATGGAACATAAGGAAAAGTATTTACAATAAATAAAGGAAATTTGCAATCCTGTTACTAGTTTTTGTTAGATAAGCTGTTATTTTTTTCTTAAAGGACTAGTGTTAAGATAGTAGTTGTTATTTTTCTATTTTTAGGAAATAGTTTGGGTTTTTTTTCTTTTCAATTTTTTGAACCCTTATTTAAGGGTTTATTATTTAATCAATAATATAATGAAATAATTCCTCCCAATCATTGTTCGTTTTATACGTTTATTTAAAGAATTTATTGTTTAATCAATAATATAATGTCATTCAGTCAGTTTTTTTTTAAGGTGTTGAGACTTTGCCAAGTGTACCAAATCGTTTCAAGTAATAAAATCGGTAAGACCGGATATCGTTTCCAAAAAGACTCATGTCACCACACAATCATATAATTTCCAACTAACTTAGACTAAAGAATGCTTTATAATTTGGGTTTTAGTGCAATTAAAGTAAACATGCAACCTAAATGATAAAAGTGATCTTTGATACTCAAACACTTAGAAATGAGAAGATTTGAAATGATATGAAATGGTATTGTTGGGGGTATGATTTCACCTACTTCACTCTTATGTATAGAAAATCACCTCCTCTTCATTAATATGCCAATGTCAATCTACTAAATTACTCAAACTCAATCCCTTGGTAGAGAGAACCTATACTTCTTTATTAGGCTCCAATCCCTTGATAGAGAGAACCTATATTTCTTTATTAGGCTCCAATCCCTTGGAAGACCTAACAATTATTTCCGCATTAAGAATTGAGCTTTAAGACAACCAAAGGTCCTAGTTCTATCCCTAGATATTATTTCCTTTAGGTGTTTAATCCAAGTCCAGATTTACCCAACATTTTCCAATATCAAGCAAACCCTAAAATCATGTCATGGGTAGCAACTTCACAACAAGCATTAAGAAAATGAATTAAACACTAACAATCAATGAAAGATGCATATATTCATTCAAAACACAGTAGTTTACATAAGAGTTTAGTGGCTACATCAATCATTAACAACAATGAAACAAGCTCTCCATTGAGCTTACAACAATGGTGGAAATGGAAGAAGGAAGAAGACCCAAGGAAGAAGATGGATTGTTCCCACACTCCTAGCTCGCCTCCAAGGCTTCAAATGAGAGAAAACGCGTCGGGTGTCAAAAGATGTCAAGCTCTTCGCGCCTCTGAGTTAAATAGGGCAAATCTGCCATGTCAGTAAAGTTGGCGCTCAAGTCCCCAGAAAGAAGGGGGGCTCAGGCGCATGACAATCCTAATGCTGGCGCTCAAGCCCCCATAGACCAGGGGTGCCCGGGCTAGCTTCAACAGAATTCTGGTTCTTCATTTTTGTTGTTTTTCTTGCTTTCTTCTTCTTTCTTCAGTGTCTTATTTGATGCATAGACTTCTTCCACTACTTTAAGCACATGAAAGCAGGGATTAGTGATCAAAATACTCATAAAGCTTAAGGTGCAAACCACTTACAAACTAAAAGAAAACTACTGATTTACAAGACAAAAGGCTAAGAAAGGGTTGACATTTTCTCTTAATTCATTACTGAATTATGGTAAAATATGTCATTTTCATAACGGTTTATGATATTATGTAGGAAAAATATTTTTTAAAAGGTTTTCAGAATAATAATAATAAGTATAAATAATAAATATATAAAATAAAAAAGATTAAGATAATAGTAATAATAAAAATACATAAAATAATAAGAGTGAAAGTAATATTGATAAAAAGGATAAATAAAAATCAGAAATTAGATTAGGCTTGACCCATTTCAGTTTTTTCCTTTTTTTAACCCCTTCTCTATTAGGTTACACCTTAGTTTCTTTTTTCTGTTCATCACTCTCCATATTTAGGTAATATGGACTAAAAATGATCCGATCCTGTTTATTTTTTTGAACTTTTTGTTTATGTTTACCATATACTTGCAAATAGAGGATTTTTCATTATGTTAAATCTTGGATTTAATTGATAATTATTATTTTTAAAAATTATTAGTTATCAGAATTTGTTTTTTAACATCCCAAAAATAGTGTAAGCCATATAATAGGAACATCACATTCATAATACTACAGATCAGTTCTTACAAAATAGAACGTATGGGTTATGGTCGAACGACCTTACAAAATAGCAAGGGATTAAAACTGTACAATATCAATCCTAGACTGACGGTTTACAAAATTCTTATACCGACGGTCCGCTAAGATAATAAAACAGCAGATGACCGAACGGTTCTACTGTTCGACCTTACATCTACCTCTACCAATTTCTTCTTCCAGCGCCTCTTCCAGCACGCTTCTCTTCTGCTCACATCCACTCGAATGATCATTGCAATAGAAGGACAACCCTGAACGTACAAAATGGACAAGACATGAAGTAGGGTAAGCTATGCAATTCAATTCAAGTATCAACATAGATTTCATACAATTCAATAATGAGATAGTTCATTCACCTTTACATGCAAAGCTAATACTAGACCTGATGTCGGACTGTATGAATTTTGTGTAGCTACGACGTTAGTGCACCGGGTGTGTAGTAACTGGATACCCTCAACAGTTGCCACCCATGTTTAGTCCTATCTGTCAAATTAACCATAAAACTATGACCTTCTGCCATTCCCACACATGACTTACCCTTCTACGTGAGAACGGTAATCACGGAATATCAGGAGACTGCCAGCTTAGGCGTGCCCACATTCACCCTTTACCAATTCCAATATCCATTCATGAGATATTCCCTCCTGGAATACTCTTTCATAATCAAAGCGTTTCATCCATATCATATTCCATCATCTTCATTATTAAACCTCAACTGAACAATTTGAACAAAGATCCCTTAGGATACCAAATACCGAACGTAAATCTTCAACCCCCAAACAGACCGAACACTTGGAGTGAGACTGAGAGGTCTCCATTTCCAAAACCGAGAAAGTTACTATCGGAGTTGAGAAGAGACCGAGTACAATAATATTTCTCAAAGACTAATAGAATCGAACGTTATTTACAAGGTGAGCCAATTAGAACTGACTCATGAGAGGTTAGACGAATGCCAATATGCCTAGGCCGAGTACTAAGACTCTAGGCCAAACACCATAGAAACTGATACTGTGAGGACATAGAATAATAATGAAGTGACGGAATTATTGAAGAAACCGAAGACGAACGCTATTGGAGTTTGGTTCGAATGCTCTCATTTTAAAAATCATATTAATAAATCAAGGTCGAGCGCTTGGTTTAAGACCGAGCACCACTTAGTACGAGTACTTGGTGTAAGACCGAGCACTACTTAGTACGAGTACCTTGGTGTAAGACGAGCACTACTTAGTACGAGCACTATTAGTATACGAG